GAAAAAAAAAAAAAAAAAAAAAAAGGGCTCAGTGAGGGAGGGGAAATAAAAAGAATTAAGATGTTATGTACATGTGTCAACTCCCCATGATGATGTAATCATTATTTGCTGCAAATATGTACTAATACAAAAATAAAAATGTTTCAGACTTCCGTCTTTCAATAGGCTATTTCTATAAAGAACTGTGAAGCGTTACCTGACTGTTTCTTACAGCAATGCTGAATGATTCAAGATGTGAAATGGGCATTTAATAAGGTTCCCCAATAAAACCCTGCCTCCCTCCTGGGGGATCCCTGCATGTTTACTCCAGGCATGTTCACTGCATGGGTGCATTAGCTGGTCAAATTCTGCTGCTGGGAACTAAAAATTGGCATGTTTTAAAAATGATAAATAATTAAAAGAAAGTTTCATTCCTTTGAGAGAGAGAGAGAGAGAGAGCAAGCAAGGGAGAGGGAAATATAGCTGCATGCCTGAGCAGAGCAGATGAAGTTAATCATCTAGAAGGGTCTGTGGGGAACTTGGGGCCCGCCAGCTTCAGACATGTGACCCCGGGAATAGCAGCTAATGGCGAACACTCTGCTATGTTCTGGTGAGGTCTCCAGGAGAGAAGGGTTCCTGGTCCCCTCCTGGCTGCTGAGACCTGGGTGGAAGGACTCTGACTCTGGCCTTACCCAGTGCTGTTTCAGCTGGTCACAGTGGAAAGTGGATCATGGATGCCCCAAAACTGCCAACCCACCCCCCTCTCTGCCTCTCCTGTCTCCTGGGCTGCCGTCTCCAGTTCTGGGTGCTGACTCTACTCTTAGCACCGTCACAGAGCTCAGGCTTCAGCCCTCTTTTCTCTCTCACTTCCTCTTCTGCCCTTGGGGAGAGCTCCTTAAATTCACAACTGTAGGGACTCTGACGCTTCCACTCCAAAGCCTTCCAGATCCACATCTCCAGGATACAGTTATTATTATTTTTTTTTGTGGTACTGGGGATTGAACTCGGGTCCTTGTGCTTGCAGAGCAGGCAGCAGAACCACTGGGCTAAATCCCCAGGCCCCCAGGATACAATTCTTGAAGATTCTGCAGCAGTCACTGCTAGAAGCTGATCTCAGCGGGAAGGTGTGAAATGAGTGGACGCCTCCTGTGGACCTTAGGGATGCGCATTCCGGGCAGGAAGGAGGACCACGCAAAGGCCCTGAGGTGGGTGTGGTCCATGTTCCGGGCAACACCCACCTGTGTGCCTTCCTGGCCTCTTTGTGATGTGTCTTTTTGGCACTGCTAGATGGCCTACCAGATCTATTTACTTCCTGCCATCTCCCTTTCTAAAACACAAACTCTCCAGACAGATGTTTTGTCTTCTTGGCTCACTCACTTAATTTCACAAGTGTAAGAATTGAGCAGAGTGAATCTCTGTTGACTGACTGCATGAAAAAAATAGTATCGACTGGAATGGCACTTGATTAAGAGCATAGGACTTGCCACTTTCCCGTCCTGTTTCAAATCCTACGGTGTGTGAACTGGATCAAGTTAGTTAATATTTCTATGCCTCTTGAGGAAAATGGGATAGTATCTTTATTGTTAGATGTAGCCTAAGGTGTAAATGGGTTAGTACATTAAAATCCAATGGAACAAGGGAGTACAGTCAGCACTGAAGAAGTGCTAATTATTTCATCAAGGGTTTCATTTCACTGAGTGCTTCTGTAGGCCAGACACTGTGCACTTCATCTGTACTGCCCTGACGGCCTGTGAAGTAGGTGACTATTACCATACCACTCTCCCGCAGTGTCTTTTGGGAAAACACGCAAATACATTTCACGTTGGGCTTAATGTGCAGGCTGAGAATCTACCTCAGGGCAGGATCCCAAACAGAAGCTGTTTTTTAAGTAGGCAGTCCTTATAGATACAATGTCACAGAACCCAGGATGCAGAGTGATATTCCCACTTGCCTAGGACCTCCGGGAGACTCACATGGCCTTTGGCGAAGCCGTCAAAGCCATCGTAGACGGCGAACATCTTGTGGCCCTCAGCGATGCCCACTCGCACAGCAGAGCGCACGGCCGCATTCATGCCGGCAGCGGGTGCCCCCACGTTGATGACAGCTACGTTGCAGTTGCTCTGAAAACAGGCAAAGGCGGGCCCAAGTCACCAGGTGTGCGCAAGCTCCATCTGCGGCTCAGCGCAGAACTGAATGCCAGGTGACTGCATTCCACATTAGGGTGAAGGTCAGGATGGAAAGACAGTCAGCTACAAGGACAACCTTCTTCCAGTGGCCAGCATTTGAAATGGGCAGGAGAGCCCTGGGGCCACAGGAGCACAGGGGCATGACTGGAGGCTGGCCACCTACCTTTGGGATCTGATCATCAGGCAGCTTGATGGCAAGTCGCTTGTAGGTCTTCAAGTTGCCTTCAAAGCTCCTAAAAGACAAGGACATTGTTGGGTCAAAGTTGCGGACAGGGGATACCATAGGAAAGGTCTGGGGGCTGGGCAGCCCAGAACAGTTTTATCCAAGGCAGATACTCTGCAAATGCTCAGCTGGTCTACTGGCTACTGGGGAAGACAGAAGCCCTGATACAGTGGACCTCTGACTTATGAACTCAGTTTGTATGGGAATGCTGGTTGTAACTCAAGTTTGTCAGTTGAAGGCCCAGGTTCCTCCACACAGCCTTCAGAGTCTCTCTCCTGTACACAGGCAGATCTCAGGGTCCTTAGAGAGACACTGGCCTGGGATTTCTCAACCCCACACAGGAAAGAATGTTGTCATGTTCCTTCCAGAACTCTTTAAGTGTTAAATCTGTATCTGAGATCATCAGGAAGCACAAGTGGCCAGCATTCAGGTTGTAGTTCAAGACTTTGGTTGTAAATAAAACTAAAATTCCAGTCGTAACCCAAATTGTTCATATGTCCAGCCAGTTGTACCTTGAGAGCCCACCGCATTATCCACATGCTACAGAGCCTTCAACAAGGACCCAGGGTGCTATTTTTAGTTTGGAAACTGGATAAGGAAAAGTAGCATTCTCCTGCTCTTCTGAAGTTTCTTTTCAAAATGCTGGCAATGTGTCACTTTGTACCTTAATCTCATTAGGCTCTGAACAACCCTCACCCTGCCCCTCCCAAAAATCAATGACAAATAGAAAAAGAAATTTTTTTAGTCATCTAGGCATTCACCCTGAAAAAAAGTTGGCCTTGTGTATTAACTTATTTGTTTTTCAAGTTTTTTATATAGAGATATAACAAGCACAACCTCTAACCATATTCTATTTGACCAAGCCTGAGGACCTGAAGTTCCTGGTGAAATAGGTTTTCTTCAAAATAACTCACCTCCCTCGAAGTTTGACGGCGTCCTTAAATCTTCCCCCATCCATTGCCTTTTGTACGTCCTGGGTCTTTTACAGAAGTGAAATAGAAAGAAAGAATGTGTCAAGAGTTACGCAGGTAGGGAGTAGACAGGGAGCTGGCTCAGGGCCCAGGGGCCAGACCCCTTCACAGTACGGCTTTGCTGGCAGCCCCTAGGCTGGTCTGGATCGCTGGCTGCCCTGTACCTGGCACGCTGGCTGGCCCATCGGTGCCAGCTGCAAGGCTAAAGGTGCTGGGGTCCACCCAGCTCTAGCTGCTTCCAGGGAAAAAGGAGAAGAAGGTGTCATCTGCTATTCATGGCTGTGAAATTAGCCGGATTTCACCTCACAAGAACAACCCACAAGAAAGGGCTCTTTCAGGGAAGACTCTAAAATATTCCCACAAAAACACAGCCCACTGGCGCCTCATGAGGGCTGTAGGACCCAAGGGTGGTTACAGCAGGCTGAGGGGCGCGGGGGATGAGGGCTATCCTAAGACTAAGGGCTCAGGACCAGCACACACATTCTGGTTAGCTCCTGTTAACTTTAGGGTCTTGGGCAAGTTTCGCATCATCTCAAACTTCACTTTCTTACTCTGTAAGACAAGGAAAATAGCCCTACTTCTCTAATTATTAAAAACACGTCACGAAAAATGGGAACTAAGACTTGTCATGTAAAATTACAAGATCCAGTAATGAATGTAACTGTACTGTATACCTAGAATGTACCAATAAACTCAATAAAAAGAAAAAAAAACACATCATGGGCTGGGAATTTAGCTCAGACCTGCCTTGCAAGCGCAAGGACCCAAGTTTGATCCCCGGTACCAAAAAACAAACAAACAAACCAAACAAACCCTATACCCTAAACAACCAAAAAACACATCAGACCTTTAGGTAAATGACAAACTGCTCACCAAATGGCTCACTATGGCTTTTGATAATAAAACCCCCCACACAATGGCTTGCAGAAGCTAAGTTATAGCCGTCACACCTATCCCCAGGCGACTCCAGACATGAGAAATAAGCTCTTACTAAATGCGCACATAGTTCAATGCTGTGGTCCTTTCAGGCCTGTCATCTCTCAGAGATTCAGACACTTCCTGTCTTCCCGTCCCCAGGGACATACATGCACATATATAGACAGAGATACATACACACACTTGTACACACAAATGCAAACACACACACATATACACACAAACTTCCTGCACACCTATTGGGTTTTGGAAATTATGTTTTTTTTTGTTTTGTTTTTTTGTCTTTTTTGAGACAGGGTCTCACTATGTAGCTCAGGCTGGCTTTGAATTCACTATGTAGTCAAACTCATGGCAATCCTCCTGCCTCAGCCTCCCAAGTGCTGGGATTACAGGAGTGCGCCACCACACCTGGCTCAGGAATTATGTTTTTAAAGTTACTTTCAGCAAGTCTTTTAAATTACCTGTCAACCTTTCTCTATATAAACATGCTATAAAAGAACATACCTCAGGATTATTGGTAAAATGAAGTGACAGTCATGAGTAAGCTTTGAAAAAATAAAATGGCCATTTCAAATTCAACTAACTCTACTGCCAGCTCATTTACTGCTAACTGGAAAATTTTAACTTATGTTTCTTTCCCCATCTGCAGATACTCCAGGGCCTGCAGGGGGTGGGTTCCTCTCAGAATGTCAATGGAAACCAAGCCAAAATCCTAGCATGGACTTGAACGTCCTCAAGCACAGAAGGACAGGAAGTGACTAAAACTGGAGAATCCAGCCATGTCACATCTCCCATGAAATGCCACCCGTTTCTGGCAGGGCATTGCCCCTGCCCTGTATCACCGCTGGAGCATCTGCTGTCCACAGCCACCTGGATCCTCTGTGACTGCTGACAGAGGCGGTCAGAGAGGCCTTGCATATACTCCTTCCTGATGGACTAGATTCATCTCCAGGGACGTCACTACTAGAAGAACCCCATGGATGATAGTAACTTAGAAGTCAAGAAGGAAGAGGCAGTGCAGGTTTTATACACTGTGCAATGAAAACGGGAAGCCTGCTGTTTTTATCCCCTGGACAGCTCACCATATTCTCACAGAGGCCATCGAACCCACTGAGCACCCCATCGGCAGCAGACCAGATGACCCGAGGCACGTGCCTGGCCTGATCTGTGGCGTGTGACTGTGCCCACCCTGCCCCCCACTCACCATCTGCACACACTCCATCAGGGGCAGGCGCACAGCGTGGTTTCCGTTCAGTGACACAACACAGGCAGGGATCTCAGGGGTGGCCTCTAGCAAGGCAATGACCGCCTCCACCCCCATGCGACTAGCCTGGAAAGGACATCGTGACAGTCAAGGACGGCCCACTTTCCTGTTCCAAGTGAGGCACTCCCTGCCCACCTGCGACCACTGGAGACGATGCCACTACTCATTTTCCATGTGTGGAATGCAGCCTCAATGGGCGGGGCATTTACCACCCCTCCCACTTAGCTCCAGCCCCCACTCTGGAATGAACGGATTATGATTCTCATAAGATCCAGCCAGCTAGGGAGAGGAGCGGAAATAGTGACGCACAGAGGGCAAGTAATAGCAAGAGCTGAGGATCGGGGCTCAGGATTTCGGTGGTCCCCGTGGTTGGTTTGGAACACTGCCTTCCACCTGGGATGACTGATTCTCCCAGCGCCACTGTCCACCTCCCAGTAGGCTTCCCACATTAGCTGACGTCTCCCAGCATCTGAGTAACTCCAGGCTGGGAAATCACTTTACGTCAGCGAACCTCAAAGGATCTTTCAAATAAGGACGTGGACCACTACAGTCTCCAGGGAGGAGCTTGTCAGTCAGCCTTTGTAATAAACTGGCTCCTTTCAACGTCCACAACTATTTTATTCCCTAGGCACCTTGTGGAAATGCCTGGCACCTTCCGCCCTCACTTACCAAAATCCTGTCAAAGGCGGAAGGGGTCCCACCTCTTTGCACATGTCCAAGAATGGTCACTCGAGTGTCATATCCCAGCTGTGTTACCACAAGCTGCAGAGAAAGAGATCTCCGTCAGGAATTCAGACCGTGACCCAGCAACTGGCACATCACCTCAGATTTGGTAATGGCACTGGTGTGGAGGAAAGAGTTCTCCCACTCTTCCTTCAGATCTGAGTGGGACAAATGATCATTTCTAAACTTTGCTTTCTACAGAAAGATCAGTGGAACAGGGAGCTACAATACAATCTTCGTCTACCAACTAGCAAAAAATGTAAGTAACATTGATTTCCTAAAGCATGTTTTCACAGCTTGTATATAAAGTATCATCTATATGTATGAGAATGCAAGCATTTTCCTGGATTTGAATGGCACAGCCCAACGAAGGAAAGTCAGTCCTGTGCCCACAGGAAAGCCAGGTTGAGACTTGTAGAGGCCACGAAGCTTCTCTAGACCTCAGTTTATTCCCCTCTATAAACTGTGGTGCTAGCTATTTTGAGCCCTTGGTCCCTGCTTGATCCAATGTTCTGTGATTTAATCTCTACTTCAATTAAATGAGAAAGAAAACCTTTTTCCTGATTTTATCAATTACTTCTTGTAAATACTGGCACACGCCTCTCACAGGTCTCAATGACTTAACCTTGAGGTGCAGGGCTGGTACTGCACTGGAACCCATAAGACAGGCGTCTGGCTCATTAACTGATCACAGCTAGGCATGATAAAGAAATCAGCTTGGCAGTGCCTGCTGCCTGACCTGCAGTGACCTGAGGTTGAGTCAGGGCCTGGCTCTCACCCAGTGGCTTGCCTACAGCCCTAGTTCCTGGCTGACACATCACAGTCCTGTTGAGACAGGTGAGCCTCAGTCTGAACGAGCCCCATAGTAACGGCCCACCAGACCCTGCCCTTTCTCAAGGCCATGAGGCAGCAATGACTCATGGGCTTTCTTGGTGAGAATGTGCCCAGCTGATGCTCTCTGGGTCAGAAGGAAGGGGGATATGAGGACACCATCTGTTCTACTGTCACAAAGCTGGCCAGCCGTCAGCCCTCCTCTCGCTCAGAGAAATGCGTATGGAAGGGCTGGAACTGTCCACCACCGAGAACACGACTGGCCCTTCTACCACCTCTCCACTCTTCCCGCTGGGGACTCACAGTCTTGAGGAACACAAGACGTGCTGGCTCCCTGGAGCCGGGGAGCTTTGTGTCTCCCAGGCCACTGAAGTTCTGAGCCATTATGAAAGTATTTTTTTAATATCAGGGAGAAAAAAATTAATGCCGTTGAACATTCTAAATTGAAACCCTGTCCATTACGCTAACGTCTCTTATTGTCAGGTGGGCAACAGAGTAAAAGGGAGAAACAACACACGCTTACCTCCTTGATTTTTTCAGAGGTAATAGGTTTATTTTGGGTATCAATTGCTCCTTCAGCCACAATGATAATATTTAGCCTTTTTTTCCGGGCACGGTTCTAAGGAAACAGAAAATTGAAACCTTCACATACTTAATCTGTGGAACTGGCCTCTTTCCAGACAGAAATCTTTGCCTTGTTTTGTGACGAGTACTTCCTAGTAACACCATAGGAGGTGAAGGGTACTCTGGGTGACAGCACAGCCATGGGAGAGGTCCTCGAGGACCTGGCAGCCTCAGGGACATTACAAATACAAAGAACATCGCCTCCGGTGAGCCCCAGGGTGGGCGGGGCGTCGTCACTGGGAGGAACACAGGCTGGACACCCCACCACCTCCGCATCTGTCTCCTGGAAAGTCATGCTTTCGGTCACCGCTATTCCAGAGCTTCCTGACATCTCTGCATGAACCCTACCCCAAACCTAGCCCTATGAGGTCAATTCCCCACCATGATGATGAGAGAGTATCAGGCACAGGCACAGGAAGTAGAGAGGATGCAGATAAGAAAGTGGGAAAGGACACTGCTATAGTTTGGGTCTGGAGTGTCTCCCAAAGAATCATGTGCTGAACGTTTGGCCTCTGTCCCACGGCATGAATAGGAGGTGCCTTTTTGTTTTGGTGGTACTGGGAACTGAACTCAGGGCCTTCGCACTGAACTACAGGCCCAGCCTTTCTTAGTTTAAGATCTCTATAAATTGTTAACTGGCTAAGGCTAGGCTTGTATTTGCAATCCTCCTGCCTCAGCCTTCCAGAGTACTGTGATTACAGGCGTGCATCACTGCACCTGGCTCGGTAGAGGTAGAGCCTCGTGGAAAAAAGTTAGGTAATCAAGGGCATGGCTTTGATGGAGATGTTGTGACTCGGACCTCTCCTTTTCTTCCTGGCCACCATGAAGTGAACAGAAGTCCTCTGCTGCCCCCTCCCACCACAACATACTGTGCTGTCTCAAGGTCCGGCTAACCATGGCCTGAGACCTCTGAAACCATAAGCCAAAATAAACCTTTTGGATTGGGGTACAGTTCAGTGATACAGCCCTTGCCTAGCATACATGAGGCCCTGGGTTCAATTCCCAGCACCACAGTAACAGCAACAGAAATAGAAATAAAGTAAACCTTTTATCCTTTGAAGCTGACTTATCTCAGGTGTTTGGGAATGACAGAACCACTCTGCAATGTGGGTTCATACCTTCTCAATGGATGTAGACGCTCCTGTACAAAGTGTCAGCAGTCGCTGAGTCTGAAGGTGGTGCCACCAGAAGCCAGGGTGAGATGGGCTGTCTCCATGTGGCTCACACTGGCCTGGCAGTGGGGTCACAAACCTGTATTTTGTTTCAGTTTTGTTGTTGTTGTTCTTGTTTTACAGTACTGGTAAGTGAACACAAGGGGCTCGCACTGAGCTACATACCCAGCCCTTTCTTAATTTTTAAAAGTGTATCTGGCCTTCCTCTAGGGGAATTTGCCCTACACCAAGACACAGCATGAAAGAAAAATGTGCAACAAACTCCAGACAGGAAGAGAAAAGCCCAGCTCAAAACAATTAGCAAATGGATGGACCTTCAGATCTACGCACTGGAGACCTCACAGCTGAAAGAAATGTGAAAACACCTAACTCCAAGTCATTTAGGGAACTTAAAATTCGAGAGTTGAATGTGTTTGTACTGAGAGATGTGGAGGAAAAACAGCAAGCAGTTTTTCCTGCTGAATGTCATTTCCTTTAATAGCTGTGATCTCACGGAACCTACTCCACTTAAAATCAGAACTGACTGTTTTATATGAAAATAAAGTCCTGGCTATTTCTCCCTGGCATTACTCTGAAGCTCTGGGAAGAGAAAGACATGTGCACAACCTTTAGAGAGACCCCCTACCACAGGCTTTCACTCATTTAAAGGCCGCCCAAAGGCAGTTAGGGCTCCTGTCTAAAGCAGCGCAGTGGGAATCCCAATTACCTCTGAGAGTTTGATGCACATGTTCTCCTCCCAACCTTCTTCCGGTGGAGACTCTGGGAGGAAAACCCAGTCTGCGCCACAGGCCAACGCACTCACCAGGGCCAAGTACCTACACGGAAAAGATGACGGATCAGTGCCCTGAGGAGGACACTTCCTGCAAGGCAACCGAGGGCACCGAGGCTCAGTGACAGACTCTGGCAGACACAACACTGGAATACGGATCAGGAGGTACTGGCTTCTCTGTGAATTCTCCACTAGGAACATCCAGAATGCAAGAACTCCAGGGGATGACACGAAGGGTTCCTTCCACCCACACAGTGTGTGCAGGTACCTACCCACAGTGTCTGCCCATCACCTCTAGGACAAAGGTCCTCTGGTGGCTGAAAAAGAGACAAAGGGTACATTCATTCACCACCACTGGAAACAGCACAGAAAGCAAACAGAAAAGTGTTCCTACGGCCAACGAGAAAGAAAGCCTGCTTCGTAATTACAGCGAGTACCCAGGCTTCCCGAAAATGACTCATTTTCTTCAAAAATAAATGCTGCTGCAACAGTGTCTCAGACTTTTAAGTAACAGGGCTTCAAAAGTGACTGCACTTTCTATTTACACACTGTACAACTGCTATCACTGGTACCCTAAGAGTGACTTGCACTTGCAGCACACTTTCCTACGCTCTTTCTGAGATAATGACTATACTGGGCAAAGTCAGGTAGCTCTGGATACACCAGGTGGGACTGAACCATATACTGAATGTGTAAATTAAAAATCATCACAGCAAAAGACACTTGCCATTCATTCCCCTGAGAAATGCTCCCCGCTGGCTCTGAACTTACTTAACCCATGTTGCCACTTGCCGAAGCAGTTCTGGAAGTCCTCTTTCCTGAGTGTCTTTGTGAAGTGTGCTAAGAAATACGGTGAACGCTGATGCCGTGAGCCACCCAGCACAAGGGCAGCCTTATAAAAACACAACGATGTGCGCCAATCCACCTCATTGTCTGGACCTGGCACTGTGCAGCTTCTGGCTCTTGCTCAAAGTCAAAATGACCATGAAAGGGAAACATTTTGAATTGATTCGGGACATCGAGTTGAGACAGCACACATGAAGATGCTCACAAAAGAGGACTTCTAAAGTAGTAAGAATGATGGGGTAAGTGTTTGAAGTTAGGGGAAGTATTTTAAGAGAGATTAATGGCAGTGTGTCTTCTACTGTAATAAATGTTTAAAAAAATTAAACATTTATTATGTTTTTTATCATACCTAGTATCTCTCGTAAACATATGAGAATGAGTGTTAATTGCCTTATGACTAGGGATTTTCCATGCAATGGAAAAATCCAGCTGCTCTAACCAATTCTTCCAACCCTTACGAGGTGGTTTTCCAATTCCTGAGTCCATACCCATGGTCTGATTGGACAGAAACATAAAGAAAACTCAGGATGTCTGGCTCTCTGGACAGTTTCAAGTATCAAGCTTCTCATATATAAAATGGGAGACACTTGTCCTATGTATTATTTCACATTGCTTTCATCGAAAGTACTTCAGAAGCTCAAAGGTGTCTCAGGAAGACTCTCTGTTCATGAGTTTATATGGCCTTGGATAAGCTATTATCACTCTGTCCATGCTTCTGTCAGTCAAAGGCTGGAAACCAAACAGTAACAAAACACTGCCTTGCTTCTTATTAAGAAGTGTGGCAAACTCAGTCATTTTGCCTTTTAACATTGTAGGAGATCTTAGGACATGACTTTATTATAGATTTTTTTTCTGTTTTCTAATTTTTCTCCTATGAATGTGTTTTTTTTTTTGTAACCAGGTTAAAAAAGAGTAATATTAAAAATTTTTTTAATGAAAAGTAAACTAGAGGAGAATATTCTGGTACTGGTTTCTAATACTCAAGTCACTAGACTTGCATCAGTGTGCCCCTCTGCAGAACACTGTAGAATCAGCACTACTTGCTAAGCCACAGCTCATCACATGCCTGTAAGTTGACTCCTACTGTCTTCTTTCAGTCATTTTACCTCTGGGCAGTGGTCATGATGGCATCAATAACTTCGATAATTCTGTGCAAAGCTGAGTCTGTGCCAATGGTCATATCTGTGCCACAGAAGTCGTTGTCTATGGAGCCCACCATGCCCACCACGTTGAGATAACCATGCTTCTTCATGGCTTCTTCAGTGATCTTACCTGCATTGGGAACAAGCAACACACCTCATAATCAGTAAGAGCTGCTTACTCTTCAAGTGCACCATGGAGAACGCAATTATAATTAAAGTCTTTGCCTATTATTTTCTCAGTACTATATACGATCTGCATCTGTATACTTAGGAAAAGCCGAAGGTGAATGTAATTACACGAAACATGAGCTGTCGTTTGCCATTAGCAAGAACACTACAAAAATAAAAGGGTCGACATATTGTACTTAGCAGATGACAATCTCAAATTTACCTACTAGCATTGGCTTCAGAGAATGACATGACTTTGAATTAGGATGCAGCACAATTTCAGAATTCAGTACTTTATGTTATCTTCATATTAGTTTCTTACAGGCCCACAGGGAGCTAGTCAGATCTCTACCTAGTCCTGTCACCTGGGTCAGGCAGTTCTGTATAAATGAAATTAGAATGGTCAAAGGGGCTCTGGACTGGTGGGCCCTAGTCCTGTTCTGGCTACTGACAGGCCTGCAGCAGACCAGACATGGTGGCCAAGAAGATACTATGAGGTCCTTGGTGCTACTCTTCATTGCCTAAGTTGATTTTTACAAAACTTGAGGGTACATGCTTGGTCTCAAGTTTTCATTTTTTATGAAGTTGCTATTAGTCTGAGCTATATACTCTCACTGGCTGTATTTTATATTACATTGGAATTATGTAATAAGAATTTTAAGAGATAAATGACTACAGTACATGAAGAGTTCTCGGAAGCTCTAAGTAGTATCAAAGGTGATAAAACATGACATAATGCCACATTATTAAAGTGTAAATTAAAGTCTTACAATAACTTAGTTTAAAGAGACCCCATGAGAGCTAGATGGCTCCAAGTGTGACTGTGGGTGTCTGTGGCTGGCTAGGGTGGACCCGGGTCATACCTACAGCTACGTGGCTTCCCATAGGACCTTTGATTCTGTACCTGTAAAACTGGGATAAATAAGAAAACCTATCTCAGACTGTAGTGAGGATTCCCTGGGACTACCTGCATAAGATGTTGAAATGCCTAATACATGTTATGTTTATTATCATCACTGGTGTTACCTGAGGCGCTTATTTAAATCCTGAGGCATTAGACTATAAGACCTACAACAAAAACTACTTGGCTAAAGTTAAAAGGCAAAAAAACGACCCACCTATATGTGCAATTATTATGTAATCATAAATAAAACGTTTACGAAGGTAAACTGTGTGAGTTCCACAGCTCTCTGAAGGCAAGGGCAAGAGAAGGTCTGAAGAAGGGCAGAGCGGAGGCGGAAACAGAATCATACCACTCTGGGCCAACTCCTCCAGCAGTCCACTCCACTCCTCCCGGAAGATGTTGGCCCCTGTGAGGCTCCCGTCCCCACCGATCACACACACGTTGGTAATGCCCAGCTGGACCAAGTTGAGAGCAGCTTTCAAGCGACCTTCCCGGGTACGAAAGGCTTTGCAGCGGGCACTGCCAATAATTGTCCCACCCTAGAAAAGACATAAAATTATATTTACTGACCTCTGCCCACTGGACAGAAAGCCAGATGGACCAGCACACATACAGCTTGACCTTTAACACGAGACTTTCAATTTAAGTTCTCCCCGTTTTCATGTCTTGAGTTAGTCCACTGTGAAAGTTTGTGCTTTTCTACTTTTACTTCCATGCTAGACATCCATGAAGAATGATACCTACATCCTGCCCAGGAGTGGCCAAATAAGCGTGAAAAAACATTGGCAGCCATCAACCAAATATGCATAGACACAGAAGTCTTCCAGCCAGCTTGAGCTGATGCTTTCCCAACCCCACACGAGTGCAAACAAGTACATAGCAAGCAAAAGATGCGTCACCACCCCTTGTCACCAGCTGTGACTGAAGAAGCAGCTCGTCCTGCAGATCTACTACACATATGCTCAAGAACAATATTCAAACAAAATGAACGGGAATTAGTGAACCAAAAGCATTTAAAAGGCCTACACTTCTAGCTGATTTCACTTGCAGTACAGAGCCCAGGTGTGGCTGTTCCTGAGGAGGGCCAGGACGGTAAGCGTAAGTGAAGTTTGATCTAAGCTCTCAGAAAAAGTGCTCTTTATGTTGTGTCCTGGAGTATAAGCTGTAGTCTGCATAGGGACTTAGCAGGCACAAATTACTACCAGCCTTTATTTTTTTTGGTACCGGGGATCAAACTTCGTAACTTGATGCTTGTGAGACAGGTGGTGGAACCACTGAGCTAAATCCCCAGGCCACTACCAGTCTTTTAAAAGGCTTAACTTTGATCCACCAAACTTCCACAAGAGTTTAGTATTTTAAAAAGTAAGGTTGGGCTGGACATGGTGGCACATACTTGTAGTTCCTGCACTCTGAGAGGTTAAGGCAGCAGGATTTAGAGTTTGAGCCCAGCCTGGATAATTTTGCAAGACGTCTTAAAATAAAATGGGCTGAGAATGTAGCTCAGTGAAAAGGCACTGGGTTCAATCTCCAGTAGCCACAAGAACAAACAAACAAACAAATGGTTGGTTTGTAGTACTTAGAAAAATTAAATAATGTTTTAAATAAATAATGAATGAGTGATAAAAGTCTAACTTGTACTCAATCTATCAAATGTATGTTTGCTTCATAAAGCAAACTTCTCATGATCAGGGTTGGTTTCTGTGCTGAGCAGACCTCTAGTGGGAGAGCTCACAGAAAGCCCCTTGTGCTTATTTAGGTGTTAGTATTTGGGTAGACATATCAAGAGTGCATGTGTATGACTCACTTTGATTGAGGAAGATTTGGGCTGGGGATTTAGCTCAGTGGTTCCACCACCTGCCTCACAAGCACAAGGACCCGAGTTCGATCCTCAGTACCAAAGAAAGTTGGGAGCAATGATTTAGGAAGATTTATTTCAAACTATAAAAATTCATGAAAGTCACCCTTTAACTGGTAAAAGCATTATTTAAAAAATTACCAATCAGGCTAAAATTCATCTGGCATTTCACTAGCACGGCCCTAGCAGTGATTCTGTGTTAGCAATGCTAGCGCAAAGTGTGTCTGGGCCAGCATACAATTTGGCTTCACAAAGGCAGGCCTGAGGATGGTAAGTGCAGAGTGCAGGGCACAGATAAGCTTGTTCTTCGGACTTTGATTTGATAAGGGGCAGTTCGATGATCAGGTGACTTGTTACAACTACAAGTAGAGCTGAAACCCAACAGTGCTAGTGCTGAGGAGATAAGATAGAGCTTCAGGAATGAAATCACAAATAAGTGAGTAACAAGAAGCAGGCCCCATTCCGCATACAACCTTCAACTATATGCACATTTCCGGTTTTCCTATCTCAATCATGACAGCAGAATGGAAACCTTCTGTGTGGAATTAAACTGTTAACTACTGTCTTGAAGTCTTGTAAATATTGTTCTATCTAATTATGAATAACTGTCAGAATTTCCTTCATTCTCTTTCCAGGTCTAGCAGAACTAAAAAAAATTCCACTGCAGACTCAGAGTCTCCATGTCAAAACACGTCCCCCATGACAATCTTTAGAGTGAATGAGCCAATTTGGCGGTTATGAAAAAGTACTCAAAATGAGTCACAGATTAATCTATACATTTTAAGAGCAAACCACAAATAAAGAGATCTCCATAAAGTCTATTCTTTCCAAGTAATCTCCGTATTTTTCATTTGATTCAGAGCCCTCACTCAGCTAAAGTGTACCAAAGTTGTATGAGGCACACAATTCTGCAGCAGCTTCCTTTTAAATTCAAAGCAAGGAACGCATTTTGCCTGCAGTGGCAATGACTTCATCTCTGCACACATCACAGAAATTATCCCTGTCTGATTCAGCCCCCAACAGGGAAGCAGTGTCTGCATCAAACCTGGGGCTGTCAGGCAGAATCATTGCCAGCCTTTGTTACACTCAGTGCCAAGGATCATGCAAAAATCCAATGGGTACAGAGATTTTCCACTGAATGCACAGCACAGCACCAACAAACCAAAGCAGACCCAACTTCTGGTCTCAAAAACCACGATACTCACCAGAAGAAGAATCATACGACTTCATACTGCAAGGATAGTTCCTGCTATGCTGAGCTTTCTGATTTTTTTTTTTTTTTTTGGTACCAGAGATTGAAGTGGGGACCTTGTGCTTGCAAAGCAGGCGGCAGAACCACTGAGCTAAATCCCCGGTCTCTAATTTTAGTTTTGAAGTGTAATTAAATGACAAATTTAGGATATTTTCTTTCCAGGAAAGTAGGTAAGAATAATGTCAGTTGGGACATTATTGTGTCTTAAATGGCCCTGAAGGACAAGTGCAAATGGCTTCAAACTAAACTATTTACTTAGAGAAACAAATGAATGGCAACATGGTACCCACCACTTGCAGGATGCTTGAGACACTCTCCCAGTCTGCTTCCACGATGTTGGAGCCTCCATCTACCATGCCCTGGTAACCCTGATGAGAAAATGAGCATCGGTAAAAATGGGTCGGGCTTTGTTGGAAGTCAGTTGATATATAAATGATCTAAAATAGGAATACACATGGCAGTGAACCTCAGTTCCTAAGTGCCCAAGGGTTAGAAAAACAGTCAATGCAAGGGCTGGTCAGAAGTATTAAGTTGTGGCAGCTGGGTGTGCTGGTGCACACCTGGAATTCCAGACTTGGGAGGCTGGAGGAGGGTTGCTGTGAGTTCAAGGCCAGCCTGTGGTACACAGTAAGTCTGAGGCCCCTTTGAACTACATAGCAAGACCCTGTGCCAACAAACAAACAAAAACATCGTGGTAAAGCCTCTTAAATGTAATCTTTTGTAATGGAAATTTCTAACCGGACTCATCCAAAGAGAACGAAGGGGAGAAAGTGCTTTGCCTATTGCCCCAAGGTTCCTGAGACAGTAAAGGGACACGTTCACCCTCCAGGGTTTAAAAATTAATACAAACTCACACACAAACTGGTGACAGTCACAATGCAATAAGAAAATACTCTGCGAGGGCCTGAACTTTCCACAGTAATCCACGGTGGTTTTAGATACTTATTAAATATTTTTTTAAAAGCACGGCTGAATAATAATTCAATCTGCTCTATCTTCCAATTAGTGACAATTTACTGGACTGAGGTACAGCTTTTAGCAAACTAAGATTAAAATACATATTTTTGCCTTAGAAGCCCAAAGATAATTAGCTTTCAAACATGTCTTATTCTTCCCACCCCCAGAAAACACAACATTACAAAATGCAAAAGTGTTTATTACTTGCTAGGGCGTTTAATCTTTTTTTTTTTTTTTTGGGGGTTTTTTTTTTTTTTTTTTTTTTTTTTTTTTTTTTGGTTCTGGGGATCAAACTGAGGACCTTGTGCTTGTGAGGCAGGTACCAGCACCACTGAGCTAAATCCGCCCCCCAGGGCATTTGATCTTAAAGAAAATAGGCTTCAAATATTTAGAAAAGTCTGCTCATTACAATTAATTTTGTGGATTCATAACTTCTACTCAGTGAAGGTCAAGAGGAAAAGAAAAAAGGAAGAGAAGTTTTTTTGTTTTCTTAAAAATGGAAACAGCCTAAGTCTATTTTTGTCATGTAATCTATTTCTCAACTGATGAAGGGCCCATAGCAGCTTAAAGTGTTCCAGGAATGTTGGAAGCATACAATCCTGAGGCAGGTTTCTTTTAAATTCAAGGCAAGTGCACAGATGATCAATAGTGCAGGCATCTTAATGGTCAATTTGTATAATATTTATAAATGTAAATTTACATCCAAAATAAAATGTGTGTAATCTGTGTCATGTATGTGACAAATGGGAAAGGGAACAACAGTATGAAGTGGAACAGAACCAAAAAGTTACAGCAGGTTCATTTTAGTGCCAGCATCTGGCCTCTTCTAAACACTCTGGGCTAACTTGAAGGATACTCTGTCTTTTTGCCTCTCCTCTTTCTGAAAACCTTCCAAGGTAGGCACTTTCATCTGGTTTCCCAGAGAGCACAGGGCACAGGCGAGGCCAGCGAGCACAAGTGAGATGTGATCAAGGTGCTCCCAGAAGAGGTGCTGTTTATGTTGTGTTCTGTCCACACTGCACCAGGCAAATTACCTGTGCAAAACCATGTCCTCTCCTCACTCTAAGTGAATCCCAGGGGTCTGAGTTCTACAGAATATTAAGAATAGGTAGGTTAGTAGACGACAGAGACAGATAGATACACAGGTAATCCAGACTTAGCTTGTTCTTTCGATTATCTTTACCACCCCCAAATTCCTAGGTTTCTTCTAAGAATTATACTTGTCTTAAGCCAAACTTAAGAGAACAATAGTGAACAGGCTACCATCTGTGGCATTTCTGACTTTCTAAGTTCATTTCTGGAAAGCCTGGGGTGCGTGGCCTAGTCCAAGTAAGTATCAGACTCAACACTAATGCGCTCAAGTCTTTATCCAAATTCACATACTTCTTCCCAGTGTGGTGGCACATGCCTATAATACCAGCACTCGGGAGGATGAGGAAGGAGGATTGCTGTGCGTTTGAGACCAGCCTGGGATACACAGTGAGTTCCAGGTAAGTCTCAGCCACATAGTGAAACCCTGTCTCAAATAACAAAAACAAAACAAAACAAAACAAAAATCAAACTCACATACTTCTGAACATTGGAGAAAATATTACTAGTGATGAGGCCAGAGTGACAGAGTTATGGTAAGCACAGGGCTTTGACAAAACAAAAAACGAACACCCACGAAATTTCTACATAAAGATACTGCAATAATTTCTGTGTACTCGGTTGTTGGGTAAATAAAGCGGTTGAGGAAGCGAGCATGGTATTTATGGAATAAATAAATACATGCCTGTATTTATTCCTAGCTATTTCAGAAGCTGTGGCAGGAGGTTCAAAAGATTCAGTCCAGCCAGGGCAACTTAGCAAGACCCTGTCTCTAAAAAAAAAAAGTAAAAAGGGCTGGACATGTAGCCCAGTGGGTACAGTGCCTCTGTACAATCCCCAGTACAGGAGGAAAAAAAAAAAAAAAAAAAAAAAAAAGAGGCCCCGAGGTTGAGCCTGAGGTTGCAAAAGCATCTTGAGATTATTGTATTTTAGGATTAGACTCAGAAGTGCACATCTAACACCATCAGCATTGAGATTATTCCTGGATGTTTGCTCTCACAGAAACTGCTCCTCAGTCAACCACCACATGCTGTTTTACTATTTAATGTACCATTTGGGGAACAGAAATTTTCTCTTTTCCTTTAGTCTCAAAATTTAAATATTGAGTTAATGAAACATTGTCTCTCCTTCCTTTTTATTTATTTATTTTATTTTATATTTTTGTTACCAGGGATTGAACTTGGGTCCTTGCGCTTCCAAGGCAGGCCACCGAACCACTGAGCTAAATCTCTGAATCTCTTTGATTTTAGAGTAGCAACACAGAAAACTCCTACAAACCATAACATGTATTTTGAAAAGTAAAATGTTTTCCCAAAACAATTTGATTTGGAATGGTATAAATACATAGTTAAAGCAGCAATTAAAAAGTAAAAAAGGGTGACTTCATTAGCATTGCATTCAAAGATCTCTATTGCATGCAAGTGGTAAATTGCTAGGAAATGACTCATTCTTTAATTTGCAAAATCATTATGCCCATGTAACATCTGAAAAGTAACTGCCAGCTATACTGTTAAACTGTCTTTTACTAGTAAGAAGATATTATCAAATTAGGAAGACTAATTTTTCTTAAATGTATTACAATGTATAGGGTTCAGGTTAGTTTTTTTTTCTTTTTCTCCTGAAATAGAAGGAAAGCTACTGCTATTTTAATAGTCAACACACTCCTAAAATTTCCTTTTGGTATTTGCTTCTAAAGCCAATTTTATGAGTCACATAAGAAAAACAAACCATAAGACCTTTCAAAACTCATAACTTTTGATCAAACAATAAATCTTATTGACCCCGATTCATAAATTGAACCTAAAAGGCCCCTGACTGGCTGTATCAAATTCATCATCTGGCAGAATTTTTTTACATGGTCATTTGCTCATGTCTAAGTACATGCTATAGACTCTGCAGTCATTGTCACTCTTGGTTTGAAATCATTTTGTGTAATGTCAGAATAAGCATTAATAGCTTCCTCATTGATTACTTAGGAGACAGCGGTATATACAGAGGTAGTTTTGGCCAGTATTTGTAAGAATCTGTTCAATCTGCCATAAATATAATAAGAACTAGACACCTGTCAGTAGTTTTCTCATCCAAGAGATCTCCTATGTGTTTTTAAAAATTAAGGAACAAAAAGGAAATTATAGCCTTTTGGCAAAATAGGCTTTTCTTTTAGAAATCTTGTTTGATGGATCTGTGTGTCTTCTGAACTAGATGGTGCTTTTTTCCAATCCAATTTCCTGAACTCTTCAGTCCAATAACCGTATGAATGGCAAACATTCCAACCACCAGAGGAAAACAAGTGACTGAAGATCACACACTTCAAAAGTATTTTCTAGATACAGTTACTACTCGTTTCCAATAGATATCATTACTGTATTTAGAGGTGTGGCTATGAGCTTTGCTGCTTCCGTTGTTTCCTCCAGAAGTAAGGTTTCCCTAGTGTATTCTGTAATAAATGAAAGCATTTTACTGACGGAACTTGAGAGCCTCCGCACGGTTTTTTAGTCTTACATTAAGAAAACACCATTGTCCAAAGGTAGGTGTTGAAGAAAAACAAGCAGTGGAAAGTTTTCTATGTCAGTGGTTTTCAAACTTCAGAGTGGTGGTTTTATTTTGCCCACAGGAAATTCATATGCAGAACCTGAGTTCATCCGCCACATACAGGGCCCTGCTCACCTTTCTTCTAGGGCCCTAAAAGAATGCTCTCACCCACAGAACTTACCAGTCAACCCATAAAAATGTGCTGCTTGCTGACTTAATCACTTCATGGAAAATTTCTACTGAGAGAGAAGTCTTAGGACTTGTCCTCGGTGAGACTCGCTCAGCAATAAACTGGGTTGGAACAGGACAGGTCACTGTACTGTACTGTACTGTATACTTTCTGCTTTGGAAGACCAATAATGCACCATTATTTATTTAGCCCTCTAGCATTATAAGGGTCATTTAGGCCAAAGCTAACCTGACCCAGTCTCAGCTAAGTTGCAAAGTCACGTGCGTCGCACAGTCAGGGAGGCGCCCGCTCTCCACGTGTGGCTGTCTCACACCAGCATTCTCAGTGCAGGCTCCGTGGGCGTGACAAAGGCATGGGGTCGAGACCGCGTTCTTCCGCGATGTGAAAATGTTAGTCAGTAAGACTGTCTGGAGTGGATGATGGCTGTGGGGATTATTTCAGAGATCACATGGGAATTTTAGCATAAGACCTGGCACAGAGCAAGCATTCAGTAAAAGAAAATGCTCATTCCTATAATATATTACTACCCAAGATGGGTACTGGCCAATGTTCCGATGAAAAGGAGGAGCAGGAAGGAGAGACTGAGGTCGCTTGAATTGG